AGACAAATATAGACCTGTATGCACGACTTCAACCTGATAGTGGTGTAGATGTTTCTTCAGTTGAGATCTGGAAATTGATGGCCTTTCTCTGTTTGCATCAAGCTTGTCTCTGAGAGCTTTTCTTGAGGGCTGCAAAGTTTCCCGCCTGAGTGAGCTGAGGCTAGAAAAGTGGTGGCCAGCCTATGCCTTGTCTTCTGGCTTGACACAATGAGTATTACTCAGTGGTTAAAAGAGTGTGCAGGGATGGGTCAAGGCCCCTCAAAACACCACACATGCTCTGAATCAGATTTAATGCAGGACACAGAAATTTACATGATTAGCTTACCATATTTTCTGACAGAGTCAAAAGTAGAAGAATGCAAGAGTTCTCTCCAGGCACTATAGAGATCCAGAGAATCCAGCTGAAGGCCTGGAGCCCACAGAAATGCTCTGTGGATGTCCACATAAGAAGGCAGAAATATCTACAAAGGAAGATGGAGGGGTCTGCACTAGAGGGGGAAGGATTGATGCTGGAGCCTAAAGAGTCTGCATTTGCAGGCGAAAAACTGAGAGCTGGACCCTGAAGAATCTTCACTGAAAGTCGGAAGACAAAGCTCAAGGCAAAGACCAAGACCATTGCTCCGCCAAAAAGCACACTCACCATCCTTGCTGACTGCAAGAAAAATCAGTTGCAAATAAGGAAGATCAGCTGAAATCCTTCCCTCCTGTTCTCTTACAAACTGTTTTAGAACCATACAGGCTCCAATCAGGTGTGTGTTCCCACTCAAGTTGACAATTGATTTATTAACCACCAAAATGTGTAAAGAGCCTTAGCGTCCAACAACTGATTTTTCAAGAAGAAAATGTGTTATGTGTACAATGCAATATTAGTCAGCCACAGAGTAAAATGTCATTCTGTCATTTTCAGAAAATTTATGGAAATGGAGAACGTTACCTCTAGGGAACTAAGTCAGATTCAACAAGATAGTATTTTATGTTTCTTCTGACTTGAGCAACCTAAATCAACAAAAAGTGAGTGATAACAGTTGCTCAAAGGCAGAGTTTTGGAAATGAGAAAAGGAATCAGGGGAGGGAAAAGAGAAGTGATTAATTAGAATGAAAATAATCAGAATTACATACATATATATCAAATGCAGAAAGAAATCTCATTATTCTGTACTTTTAATATGCATTAATTTCAAAACAGAAGGCCAGAGATTTCCAAGGACAATGTCCAGGATCTTGGGAGATGCTCCACTTCCAAAACTACTTCCCATCTAGTGAGGCTCAGCTGTAGAAAGCACGAGTTCTGTCCCAGGACCAAGTCAGTCATGAGGGAGAAGAGCCGTCTTTCCTAGAGTAAAGAATTACAGAGTGGAATTGACATCACATCTTCATGTGGAAACTGTTGAACCTTTTAAATGTGTTTTCACTGAGTGTGTTTCACTATGGAAATAGCCCAACAAATCCACACAAATCTTGGAAAGTCACAGACTTTCCAAACTATGACAAAGTGTTGTCGTTCTTCTTCTCTGCTCCTGTTGCTAACACAATTTCAGACATCCTGACACCCAGGGTAAATATGTAGGAAAATTTCTTCCTACTGTGGAGTGATAAAAGCTTCATCAAAGATTTAGTCTTTAAATCAGTACTGTCTGCACTATGTGAAGAGCTCACACTATAAACATCCTCTGCAGGTTAGGCCAACTGCCCACTTGATGGCTTAAAACCCTGATTGCAGGAAAGGTGATCAAAAGGAGACATTTGGTTGATTCTTAATCCTGAATGGAAAGTCACATCACGCCCCGTGGACTTAGACTCTGACCAAATCTCTCCTATTGCAGAGATAGGAAACAGGATAAACAGAGAAAAAAAGTGTCCTCAGTTTCCCTGCAAAGGAGGCCAACAGTCTTCATGTCTTTTTCACAGGAAAGAATGAATTTCTAAATTGAAATTTTGTGTTATTTCTAAAAGTTAAAATTGGTGGGCATGGTGGCACATGCCTGTAATCCCAGCACTTGGGAGGCTGAAGCAGGAAGATTGCTGTGAGTTTGAGACCACACTGGGCTACATAATGAGTTCCAGGTCAGTCTCAACTACAAAGTAAGACCTTGCCTCAAAAAACACTGTGACATTGTGAAATGGGAAGAAAGGGGCTAAAGGTGTAGGGAAGGTGGGATGGGTAAGGGAAAGATAATAAGGGAAAAGAAAAAAATGTGAGATAATGAAAAGATGGAAATAAACTCCTTGTAGATGGGGAGGAGAGGAGGGGTGAAGGGAGGGTAGGGACAAGGGGAAAAAATGAGAACCATGACCTGTCATGTACAGGTACAAGATCCCAACAATGAATGTAACTGTACTGTATCCCTGAAATGTACCAATAAACTCAATTGAAAAAAACAAACCAGAAAAAATAAAATAAAATTAGCCAATAACAAATGCTGGCAGGCAGTGAGGACAAAGGAACTCTTCTCCATTGTTAGTGGGAGTGTAGACTCATGCAACCAGTGTGGAAATCAATATGGAGATACCTCAAAAAAACAGGATTAGAGGTTCCCTTTGACCCAGCTATCCCTCTGCTGCATATCTTTCCAAAAGAATTAAAATAATCATACTATAGGGATATATGCACACCCATGTTTATAGCGATACAGTTTGTGC